TTATAAATATCACTGCAACTTCAATCTCTGTATTAAGTAAAACCCAAGCTCTGGAAGATCAGAAAATAAGTTAAGGAATGAATAAGGAGAGGTTGCGAGAGCAAAGAGTGTTGTCAAGAAAGAAGAAAATAGTCATAGAGAAAGCAGCCCCACGAAACAAACTGTAAGCTCTAGATCTTAAATTCTTTTTTAAGATATCTTTTTTAACTGACTGTGGAGCTAAAAGAACAAATCTGAGATCTGAAAATCTTTATAAATACAAGGGAATATTTCTGTGAAGAAACAATATCTTTTATAATCTCAGCCTAATATAATCTGGGAAGACTCAGATAACCAAATATGACTCAAAGAAATTCTTTTTTTTTTCTTTTTGAGACGAAGTCTCACTGTCACCCAGGCTGGAGTGCAGTGGCATGATCTCGGCTCACTGCAAGCTCTGCCCCCGGGGTTCATGCCATTCTCCTGCCTCAGCCTCCTGAGTAGCTGGGACTACAGGCGCCCCCCCACTACGCCCGGCTAATTGTTTTTTGTATTTTTAGTAGAGACGGGGTTTCACTATGTTAGTCAGGATGGTCTTGATCTCCTGACCTCATGATCTGCCCACCTTGGCCTCCCAAAGTGCTGGGATTACAGGTGTAAGCCGCTGCGCCCGGCCAGAAATTCTTATGCAGGAAAGAGTTGACGAGAATGAGTAGTAACTGGCTGATAAGGAGAATAGGGGCTCAGTTTATACTATATCTCCACAGCCTGATGGGTCAAGGCTAAGATCTGAAGAGCAAACATAAACTAAAAGCACAATGACAACATGGTTAACCCAACCAGCATACCTCTTCTACGGCACATTTGAGATTGGCAAATTACTAAAAATAACATTTTAAACTTGGGAATTAGCTACTTACATCTTTCAAGAACCAAACTGGTAGTTGTTTCGGACTCATGTCTTACAAACTGACGAAGTACCTAAAGAAGAACAAATGAGTAACACGGCTTTAATTTTTAGGAAACGCAAAAGCAAACGGAAGAATTACTCACATTCATTCACCATGTAGTCAGTAATTCCTGTAAATTCCAGAAGAGAAGAGAAGCTCTTCTCATGTTCTCCCAAAAGAGTGCCAGAAGGACCTGGCAAACACTTCAAGTGCAGCCTACTGCAGAAGCCCAAAGGTACAAGGAAGGTACTAGAAGGCATGCTCAAGAGTTACTTTATAGTACTCCCCTGTTTATTTTGCGACAGTCCCCCTGATTATGGCACTTCTGTGTTTGCACACAAAAGGAAAAGTCAAAATAATATGACTTTAACATTACAGAGTATGATAATATTTGTAAACCCAACCTGTACCTAAGAGTCGCTGCCAAGTATTTTCAAAATCCAGCTTTCATTAGCTGGAGAGACAAAAAGTACTATATATATATCCAATATATACATCCTCTAATTTTTTTTTTTTAGTATAAACTGGCATATTATTACTATATTTTGGTTACAGTAGACTTTAGAAATTAAGAAATTTAGGTCCAACATAGGTACTGATTTAATCCATCATTAGGCCAAAGGAGAGTAAAAAGAGATGTTTTATAATTAATAATTTAATAAGTAGATTCATTAATAACATACGCAATGATCAAACAAGTGTCAGGAGGTGTGGAATAAATGCAAAGCCTCACTCTCAGGCATAACAACGAGCTAGTTTAGAGGAGGATCCCCAACCTCCAGGGTCAAGGACTAGTAGAGGTCTGTAGCCTGTTAGGAACCCGGCTGCACAGCAGGAGGTGAGCGGCAAGCAGTGAGCAAGCATTACTGAGATCTGCCTCCTGTCAGATCAGCAGGGGCATTAGATTCTCATAGGAGTGCGAACCCCATTATAAACTGCTCATGCGAGGGATCTAGGCTGTGCACTCCTTATGAGAATCTAACTAATGCCTGATGATCTGAGGTAGAAAAGTTTCATCCTCAAACCATCCCCGCAACACCCGCCTCCTCCATGGAAAAATTGTCTTCTGTGAAACCAGTTACTGGTGCCAAAAAGGTTGGGGTCTGCTGGTTTAGAGAATGAGAAATAGGTTAAATTCCAATAAAACAATACATTCTTGAACTAACCACATGAGTGACTTTCTGACACAGCAACAGGAACATATTCCAAAGTCAGACTCCCTGTGTCTATGTAACTGCCCTCCCCCGGTTGCTCCTTCAGACCTTAAAAGGAATTAGGATGCCTCAAATATGATTAACCTAAAGTGTTTCATTTTAAAATCAGCAAAAATTATGATAGGTAATATCTACTTCACAAGGTTATCGCAAAAATTAAACAGCTTCAGTAGTGAGCTTAGCCTAATACAATTTCTATAAATATTTCATGGGAAATTTCATGCTTTCAGTGCATCAGAAAAGGTCTAATAAATTTGGTTCTTTGATTAAACACAAAGATTCGACTGTCCAAGTCAAAATCACATCATTGTCGGAAAAGGTAGTCACTACCACATAATAGCAGCAATGGTTACTGACTATCAGCTAAGAGATTTATCTATTATCAATTATAAAACTAAATCTACAAGTTATGTAAAATTATCCCCACTTAGAGCTGAGAAGACCACCTCAGAGAGACTGCATAACCTGCCCAAGATCCCGCAGGAAGTATGTGGCGAGTGATCTCAAGGCCCAGGCCCTTTGACACCAATGCTACTACTTTCCCAAAGCCCCTTGCTGCCTCCTGAATTTCAAGAGCTACTGTAAAGATGGGAGTACACGTCACTGAATTCAGAGTTGAAAGAGCTAGCCATTCTATCAGCGAAACATTTTCGAAGTGGCAGTACTGTTAATATAAAAAGCAGAAGCCCACCCATCAAATAAACACCAATTCCCAGGGTGCTGTTGGCTATCTAATCCCATCACTAAACTTATGGGCACAGTGTGGGTAAGAGAATAAAGATATGAGTACAACATACCATAGAATCAAACTGCTAATGAGAACCTGTGTCATGATTCTGGAAATGTACTCACTTCAGTGCTCAGACAAGCAAGAGCTCATAAATCTTACACGATAACAATGTCTCATTTGGGGCACACAAAAATCAAAGCCTACTGGAAAAGATTAGGAAAGGATTATTTAACTTGGATACTTTTTAAAATTAAACTTTTAACTCTTATTTAAAGACATTTTAATACTGTAACATTAGTGTTAAGTAATAACTTTTTTATGTTTCACATTTCAATACAGAAAAAATAGATTAAAGATACATAGAGGTTAAAGGGGGGATCCAAGAATAGAGGATTAAGGTGGGAAAAATGACAGTCATGGAGGAACTGATTCTTCATTGATCTTCACAGGAGGATGGGGAGTAGGAGAGCCAAAGAAGAATCTACAGGAGGTGGTGCCCAAATGTGGTAAGTGAGGAAAAACGGTAGTCTCAGCTGGCTCAAGGTGGGCTAGAGTGACTGGAAAAGTGAGGAGCCATATTAAGTGGAATGAGAAGGCATTTTCTACATAGTGAAATCTGTGGTGACCATTCAGACTTGAGCTGCTCTCTCCAGGGTGGAAAGATGGGGGAAGAGGAAAGTTTAGCAACACAGGAGGTAAACGGTCAAAAAAGCAACTACACGCCTTAAGAAAAAAGTTGGAACAATGAGTCCTACAGTCTTTAGGTCACTAAAGACCTATAATGTCCTATCACTGCTTAAATTCAAGCAACACACACACGTTTTAAAAATTAATGATTCCTATTACATATGTGAATAAACCTGAACTTTTTTTTGTTTTAGTGAACATAATTTTCACTGGCAAAATTTACACTACCAATCCTCCATATCAGTTGAGTACAGAGGTGGGTGGGTGAGCTCAAAGGTCTTTTGCCCTGTAGTTAAAAGCCTGAAGAAGTCTTCTGATCACTGCTGATAGTAATACATCTCAATATTAATACAGACAAGTGACTACCTGTAACACGGGTCTTCGAAACATGGCTTCTATTTTCTTTCCTTACAGTCTAATCTTCAGGCTCTTCCTAAAGGAAAAAAACAAAATAAGAAACATTACTTCTTATGGCAAAAGCACAACTCACCAGTCCTAAATTCCTAACTGCATTCATAATTCTTATGCACTCCAATTTTGTGACCACAACGTACCAACATTCCTGCACACCTGATGAGGATTCCTTCCTCCCTCCCAAATAAACTCACACCTGTATGTCTTTTTGGTCCCAAACAACTTCCTCTTCCTCCAACCCAGACAAAATTTTGATTGTGAGTTAATCCCACTTCCAATCCACTTCTTCTCAAATTTGATTACAATGCAAGCTCCCCTAGGGCACAGATTTTTATCTGCTTTATTCACTGCCATTTTCTAAACTTCTAAAAAAGTTTAGGCATAGTAAAGGCTCAAAAACGATTAGCGTCAAAAAGGGACTTATATCTGAAACCTGTTGCTGAAAAATTACTGCCTTCATCTCCATTAGCAAAGACCAAGCAGCGTAGAGATCCCCGGGCTAGCCAGCCACACCGTGGGGAGAGGTGGGCACCCTTTACCGGAGATGGCGCCACCACCTGAAAACCGAGGAGAACTGGGAGGAAATCACGCAGTCCTCCGCACGACTGAGGAAAGGGCCAGACACCTACAGAAACACCTCCCGACCCACGCAGGATCACGCGCAGCCAAAACACAGGACTCCACCACTTGCTTAGCGCTTGCTATCCCTCCCTCACCCGACGCTCTCACCCGAGCAGCCGAGCCAACCAGGTGATCACTTCCGGTGCACAGGGAACGCAAAACTCGCGAGAGGAAAAAGGAAGCAGAAACTCCACAACGTGCGCCTTGGAAATACTGCCGGCGAGCGCTGTGGGAAACACCGCCCCTTAACTCTGAAGTTCCGCGAGTTTCTCTTTGGTCGCGGGAGGATGATCAACGCCGCCAAGTGGTGAGTTTGGAAGGTTTCAAGGTTCAAATTAAATGAAATTATGTGATGAGGTTTCTAACGGTGCCCGGGAGGGGGCGAGGTAGGCAAAACAGAGACTAGCTCTGCCTTTCGGGGGAGAAAGGAAAACGATTTGTGACCAGCCTAGGCGACATAGGGAGACCCTGCCTCTACAAAAAGTATAAAATTAGCTGGGCGTCGTGGCGCGCGCCTGGGGTCCAAGCTACTCGGGAGGCTGAGGTCGGGGGATCACCAGAGCCCTGGAGGTCGTGGCTGCCTTGAGCCGTGAACGCACCGCCGCACTCCAGCCTGGGCATCAGAGCAAGACTTTGTCTCAAAAAAAAAAAAAAAAGAAGAAGAAGAAGAAGAAAATTAAAGAAAAAAAAGAAAAAGAAAACGTTCCAGGCCTGTTAAAGCACTAAGAAAAGCAGAAAAAGAAAGGGGAGCCGGGGAAGGGCTGACAGGCCGTCAAATTTAAGGGAGCACCAGAAAAACTGGCAATCAAATAATATCTTAATGTAATATTTTAAAAGGTAAAAATTAATGCAAGAAATCCGGGAGGAACAAAATAAGAGTCGTGTGTAGCTTAACAACAGGGAATGTTCTGAGGAATGCGTCATCAGGCGATTTCGTTGCTGTGCGGACACCATAGAATGTACTTTCGCGACCTAGATGGTAGAGCCTGCGACACACCTCAGCTGTGTGGTGTGGCCTGTTGCTTCCAGGCTGCAAACCTGACAGCATGGGACTGTACACTGAATACCGCAGACCACTGTAATTCATGGTAAGTATGTGTGTGTCAAACATATGTAAACGTGGAAAAGGTACAGTACAAATACAGTATAAAAGATAAAAATGGTATGCCTGGATGGGGCGCCTACCATGAATGGAGCTTGGAGAATTAGAAGTTGCTGTGGGTGAGTGAGTGAGTGAGTGGTAACCCAACGTGAAGGTCTAGGACATTATTGTACCCCACTAAACACTTCATAAACACTAGACACTTAGGCTACACTCAGTTTATAAAAAATATTTTTCTTCCTTCAATAAACCTTCACTTACTATAACTTTATAAATCTTTCAATATTTTTTACGTTTTAACTCTTTTGTAATAACAATTAGCTTAAAACACACACTGTACCACTATACAAAAATATTTTTCTTACATCCTTATTCTGTAAGCTTTTTTCTACCTTTGCTTTTTTTTTTTTTTTTTTTTAACTTTTTTGCCTTTTTTAAAAAAAACGAAGACATAAACACACACATTAGCCTAGGCCTACACAGGGTCATTATGATCAGTCTCAGCCTTCCACGTCCACCTCTTGTCCCACTGGAAGGTCTTCAGAAGCAGTGACACACAGTCATCTCCTGTAACAATGCCTTCTTCTGGAATCCCTCCTGAAGGACCTGCCTGAGGCTGTTTTACAGTTAACTTTTAAAAAATAAGTTAATAATATAATAAAAAGTATAGTAAACACATAAACCAGTGACATAGTCATTATTAATATCAAGTAACCCATGAGTAATACATTGCATTCTGATGTTTTATTAGGTACAATGTCACTAGACAAAAGGAATTTTTCAACTCCATTGTAATGTTATGGGACCACCTTTGTAGAGGCACTGTTGTATATGCAGTCTGTCTTTTTCCCAGACATCATTATGAAGTGCATGACTGTATTAAAATTTTAACTGAATACAGGATCTAAGCCAGATTGGAGCCTGAAGCACAAGGAAGAATGTGCACCCCATATATATGTGTGCTTATGTATTTTTAAAAACTGGGGCTAGGAAGGTTAGTGGGGGGCTGGAGGGAGGGTGGGAATTGTTAATGGATACAAAAAATAGAATAAGACCTGCTATTTTCGATGACACAATAGGTTGACTATAGTCAGTAATTACTTAATTGTACATTTTAAAATAAGAGTGTTACTGGATTGTGTGTAACTCAAAGGATAAATGATTAAGAGGATACCCCATCCCCATGATGTACTTATTTCACATTGCATGCCTGTATCAAAATATCTCGTGTACCCCTAAATACTTCCTTTGAACCCACAAAAATTAAAAATGAAAAAGACAAAAACAAAAAAAATTTTAATTAAAAAAATTTTGGCCAGGTCCAGTAGCTCATGTTTGTAATCCCAGCACTTTGGAAGGTTGAGGCAGGTGGATCACTTGAGCCTGGGAGTTCAAGACCAGCTTGGGCAACATGGCAAAACCCTGTCTCTACAAAAAATACAAAAATTTGCCAGGCAGCCGGGCGTGGTGGCTCACGCCTGTAATCCCAGCACTTTGGGAGGCCGAGGCGGGCAGATCACGAGGTCAGGAGATTAAGACCATCCTGGCTAACACAGTGAAACCCTGTCTCTACTAAAGATACAAAAAATTAGCCAGGCGTGGTGGCGGGTGCCTGTAGTCCCAGCTACTCAGGAGGCTTAGGCAGGAGAATGGCGAGAATCCGGGTGGCGGAGCTTGCAGTGAGCTGAGATTGTGCCCCTCTCTCCAGCCTGGGCAATGGTGTGAGACTCCATCTCCAAAAAAAAAAAAAAAAAAATATTAGCCAGGCATAGCGGTATGTGCTTATAGCCCCAGCTACTGTGGAGGCTGAAGTGGGAGGATCACTTGAGCCTGGGAAGGTGAGGTTTCAGTGAGCCATGATCACACCACTACACTCCAGCCTGTGCAACAGAGTGAGACCCTGTCTCAAAAAATATATGTGTGTATATATATCTATATATCAATGAAATATGTGCGTGTTTATATATATACACACACACATTTTTTGAGACAGGGTATATATATCACACTATATATATGTATATATGTGGATATATATATCAATATAAATTTTTAAATTAATTTTTAATTTAAAAAATTTTCGACAGTCCAGTAGCTCATGTTTGTAGTCCCAGCACTTTGGAAGGTTGAGGCGGGGGAATCACTTGAGCCCAGGAGTTCAAGACCAGTTTGGGCAACATGGCAAAACCCTGTCTCTACAAAAAATGCAAAAATTAGCCAGGCAGCTAATTTATGTGTGTATATCGACATATACACACATATATTTCCAGAACATTAAAGTAGTTGAAGCAGTATTGAAAATTTTTAAAGTCAGTATTGTAACAAGAAAAACCCAAAATTGCATTAATAAAAACCTTCCCCCAAACTGAGAGGAAGCTGAGAAACCAAAGATTGACCTGGACAAGTACAGCTTGGCGAGTGGAGGAGTTTATGAGAACTTACATACAAGGCACTCCTGGATGGCAGCAGGATAGCTGTGGAAATCCGCCTGGCCTCCCATCCCTAAGCTACTTGTAAGCTAATTTTCTGGCTTTTAGCCTATTGTGTGTGATGGAACTGTTTTCTTTGGTAGGTTCTCAGATATTCTCTGGGATCTTTAGCCTCTCAGAAACACCTGCTCTTTGGCTGGTCACCATGGCCTTGGCACACGGCCTGGCCTTCAGGATTCAGGCAGTGGACATACACTTTTTAGTAACCCGGGGTGGGTACACTCTTTAGTAACCCGGGGTAGGGGGGTACCCGTTACATTACAGGTGTATTAAAATTCACACTGTTTTAACTTTAAATATTTTATTTATGCCAAGATGGAATGTAATATAACTTTACTTTTAATGGAAGTAAACTGATCAGTAATGTTTTCAAATCTACTTCTTTGCTTATCTTGTTTTGAGAGAATTTCCATACCTTCACAATTTTTCTTGACCAAGTTAACAATCTTAAATAATTTTAATTCAGCTTACTGATCTTGTCTTTATTTAAAATTTTGGTGTTTTATTCATCATGATTTTTTTTTCATTAGTTTTAATATTTTAAGAATATTTCATTAAAGTGTCACAAATCTTGATTGCTGAGTTTCTTGGTGCCCCTTAAATTCTGTCTCATTCATGCTAATCCTGGGCCTAGCGGGAAAAAGAATGTATGGAGCCCCATAAATTACAGAACCCACACCAGTAGGGGCCACCCCTTCCATTCCATCTCCTGGTCCTGGCACTGTCCAGATTGTGGAGAAAGAAGGTACCCACCGTATTGTTCTGACAGGCAAATCACCTCCTCAGGCCTCTACCTAAAACCTTTCATCTTCCCATATTTTGCCATTTAGGGATAAAATCTTAACATAGCTTCCAACGCACACCTTAACTCACTCCTGAAGGTCTTGCTTACCAGTTGGTATATCGTATTTCCAGATGCTTACCTCTGTTTTACTAGCACCTTCACAAAGTTGAGCTCCTAAAACATACCACACTATACTGCCTTCAAGCCTTGCACAGGAATCAGTAATCCCACACTCCACCCACTATGTTACTACTGTCAGTGACTTCCAGTGATTTTTCTCTTTAAAAATCCTGCTTCCACTTAAGTCAAATGAAAAACTAAATTCACTCTTTTGCCCAATGTCAATTTCTCTCTTGTTTTAATGGTACCAAGATTCTCCCAGACTTGAACTTTATAATCATCTTCATCTGTCTCTGACCACCTACATCCATTCACCCATATCCAATCACTTGGCCCTAAAACTTCTTTCTTCATGATGCCACTAATATGTCCCTTTCAATTTGCATACTTTGGAGTAAGGAGTGTGGGAGAAGTTATATAAAGAAAAATGCAGAAAGCACCATGCAAATTGAAGAGAGACAACCTTAAGCAAACTCTTACAACTTTCTAAATAATATGTTAGTGGAGAGTCTGGAGTACCCTGAATTCTCAGACAGGAATTGCCAATACACATTCTCCTGAGATTGCTGGCCGGAGAGAGTCACAGTGCTGCTACTTTGTTTTTTCTTTGACAAAGAAAAGTGTGAGAAAATGTACAGTTTTTTAGATGTAAAATGTCATGGAGAAATTAAAGCATTTTCTTCTATTATCAAATGGATCCCTCCTTCCTAACACAAATGCTTCTGTGCTGCCTTGCTCCATCCTCAGGATCTGAAATGCACTCCCCTCACACACTTTCAGAACTTCTCTACTCAAACGTTCCTTCCTTTCTGTTCTCCCGTTTCATTTTCTTTGCACACTCTGTCCATCTTATAACAAATGATCACGAAGGTACCTCATCCCTCCTGTTAACTGTGAGCTCTTAGAGTTCAGGGAACTTGTGAATATCCAGTTCACAGTCTACTTTAAAATGAGGACAGGCTAGTAGGGCCCAGGTCACAGGCCAGGGTATGGAAATAAGAATCCAGAAGGGATGCTCAAATAAGCATTCTTATTTCTGGGAAGAGTCCAGAAGGATGCTTGCAGAGCCATAAAATTTCTTTTTAATCGAGGACTTAGAATAGTGATTCCAATATATTTTTGTATCAGAGATACCCCTTCAGAAACCTAAATTTCACATTTTGATGAGGAAGCCCTGAAACCTCTCCATAGGATACACATACACATACTTTCTGTAGTTCATCCATGGGCCCAGAGACGGCCTTCCCAATGCTGTGAAGTGGTGACAGGTAGCATTATGGCCTTAATCAGTTTTAATGCCTGGCAGTAGTAGACTGACACAGGGCTTTTATCACTTGCAAAGATGAATGAGAAAGAAGTGTGTATCATAAATGCCCAGGGGTACAAAATCCCCTTTGGCCTGACTTATTTCTCCCTGAATTAAAAAGGTTCCAGCTATAGGCATCCATTGGTAGAGACGAAGACTGGCAATGCTTTATCATAAATAGGAAGCCTTGGACAGTTTTGCTGTAAATTATCCATTTTTAAAGAAATTTTAATCAGGTTTTTACTTTGATTTTAAATCAGCTTCTCTAAAACCTCATAATAACTGTT